GTCAGGAAGTTTCTCCTTAGTTCTAGGTTGCTTCTCTCTTTGGTTAGTTTCCACCCGTTGCTTCTTGTCCTGCCTTCAGGCGCTTTGGAAAATAGCTTGACTCCCTCTTCTTTGGGGCAGCCCCTGAGATATTGGAACACTGCTATCATGTCCCCCCTCGTCCTTCTCTTCGTTAAACTAGACATACCCAATTCCAGCAGCCGTTCCTTATATGTTTTAGCCTCCAGTCCCCTAATCATCTTTGCTGCTCTTCTCTGTACTCTTTCTAGAGTCTCAACATCTTTTTTACATCGTCGTGACCAATATTTCAGAAGGACCTCCCACCATCAAACTGTGGAGGAACAAGATGAATTTACACCTGAAAGAAACTTGTAGGTCAGTCCAAGAGTTGGTGATGCTGCAATTAGCAAAGCCAGAAATTCCTTCATTAGGCTACCAAGACTTTGCCTTCTAGCTCAGTCTTTCTCAACCTTGGCTACTTGAAGACTTGTGGACTTAAATTCCCAGAATTCCCCAGCTAGCCATGCTAGCTGGGACATTCTGAGAATTGAAGTCCACAACTCTTCAAGTAGCCAAGGTTGAGAAACACTGTCCTAGCTCATCAAAGATTGATGGTTTTGGAAGGTAGGACCCCATTCCCCTTGATTTCCACTAGAGTATCTTCTAGAACACCCATGGACAGGACCCCCGATCTCTTCCTTCAAACCTCATATATTTCAATCTCAGATTTTCCCTCCTTCCTTCCTTGCTTGTTTTCTTGTTCTGCAAAACACATAATAGCATGCAGACCTCTCTCCTTATTCAGTCTCACAGCATGAAAATGGCAAATAACAATAATGATGAGCAATAAGAAGCAACACACAAACACATATACACACACATATCCTTGCAAATCTCCTACGCAGGCATTTTGTTCAGCCAAGTTGCAATCTCTTTATTTGTTAGCATCTTTCCGAGTCCATTTTTCCTTGAATGTTATTACTTTGGCAAGAGTCACACGTAAAACTATTTACAAACAGGAACAAAATAAACCGAATGAATAGTAACAGCAGCAGATGTGTTTAAACTTTGGGGATTTGATTTGTTCCTGCTTCAGAACGACAAGGGAAGAGGTTTCTGCTGAGACTCGGGAGGTGGGTTCATACAATGCACCTCTTCACCCAAGTGAACTAAATACAATTTCTATGTTCACATAACATGTTATAACCAAATGAATAAATTGTATTACAGCTTAATACGATGACCTGGTTCATTAAAACATGCTGAGACAATGGCTGGAAAGACCCCAATATGCTGACTCACAAACAACATTCATTTTAGTTTAATCTACAGTTATATGAACTCAGCCCAAACTTCAATCTTTGTCTTATCCCTTGATTTGGTGTTCTATTGCTTTGATCTCAGTTTTTGGAGCAGATGTTTGCTAGTTGACGCCTGGTTCAATTCAGTGAGAAGGCAAAAACTGAAAACCCTTGCAAATGTTGAAAGCAAATATTTCTCATGTGTTCAAATTATGGCAAGTCCAGCACTTAAAATACAAAACTGCCACTGGAAGGTTTTGTTGTCCTATTTTACATGATCTGCCTTGTGAGGGTTACAATTTGATTAACTTTATTCATTCACCGAAGTCAGGATAGATCCCCTTGAAAAGGCAAAGAGCTACATATGTTGATTTTAGACTTTCATAGCTCCACTCCAGCATTTCAGAATTAAAATCCAAATTTCAAAGTGGGAACAGACCACCTAACTCTACACTCTTCCTTGTATAAGCTCCTCACGGAAATCTACCCCCCCCCCCCAATTTCCTGAATCTCAGACACATTTTGACTTTATGGTTTCTAGAACACTTTGATAGGGTTAAGTCATTAAGGCCCACACAAATAGCTGATTTGTTTGAGTTGGTTGGTTTCGCTTCATTAAGTTACAGCTTGACTTACAATGCATGCATCTTACTTCTGACCTCTGTCAAGTCAAAATTTATGCAAACCGCCAAAACTCTGGAAGTCTGATTGGCACCAAACTATATTAGAAGAGGAGGGCAGGAAAAGAATCACATGCAAAGGAGTTTGGAAGAGCAAAACCAGGTTTTGCTGCCCGCACACCTGAGATTTATCATGTACCGGAGCAGTTCTAGTGACTACCATGAAAATAAGGTATAGGTAGTTCTTTACTTAAGGTCACAACCGAGACCAGATTTTCTACTGCTAAGTAAGGTGGTTGTTAAGTCAGTCATGCCCTATTTTATGGCCTTTTTTGCCATAGTTATTAAGTAAATCATTATTAAGTAGTCATTAAGTAAAACTGACTTCTTTCATTGACTCGCTTGTCAACCGTCTGGGAAGGCCACAAAGAGTGATCACATCACCCTGGAATGCTCAACCATCGTCCATATATATTCCTGTTGCCAAGGCACCTGTACTTTGACCCCACGACTGTGGGGATGCTGTGACAGCCATAGGTGCAAGGAAAGGTTGAAAGTCACTCGTTTCAGTGCCGTTGTAAACTTTGAATGGGCACTAAACTAATGGTTGTAAGCCAAGGACTATCTGTAGACAGAAGTGCACTGCAGAAATTTCTGATATTCAAATAGGACATTAGGTCCAAAATGCTGGTTTCTCAAGAAGAGGCCTAGTACTGCCAGACAAATCAGAATAACAGAACAATAGAGTTGGAAGGGATCTTGGAGGTCTTCTAGCCCAGCCCCCTACTCAAGAATGGGAGAGATCGTGCCAAGCTACATAGAGGCAAAGCTGTACGTGATAGGCTTTGATCTAGCGAGGAAGAAAGGGAAGAAGGATGAATGTCATTTCTCTCCTTGATCAGCCTTCACAGACACAAGCCAAGGAGCAGAACAGTCACAAGGACTGAGCCTTGCAAGCCGGCTACACCTCCCTTTGGTCCATCAGCGGGACGGCCGAGTCGTTCTTCAACCTTCACAGAAGGGACCACCTTCCTATTTTGAACCACGATGCTCCTTTCATCATCTTCGTGACTGTGGTTATGGCCGTGGTTGTGGTCATGACTGTGGCCCTTCTGAGGGCCGCCCACGGATGGGCTCACGGCAAGAGAACGGGTGAGCTTGCTGGAAGTGGAAGCTGCTGCTGCTGTGGCTGTGTTGATCCGGACATACGTCGAAGGGGTAGTGACGGTTGTGTTATTGGTCTCTTGAGCAGGCAGGAAAGCCAGCCGTGGAATGGAGGTGGAGAAGTGTGTCTTGTTGGAGAGATCAGTGTTGCAGAGGTTCCCCGAGCAACAGGAGCCTGAGAGAGTGATGGCAGGACTCCCTTTCCTGACTTTAGTACAATCGTCTTCTTGGACACATCCCTTGATGGGTCTGGTCAGTGAAAAATTGCCTGGGAAAGACGAGAAGCAACGTCAAGGCAGGCATCAAGGGGGAAAAGTTTTGGTCCCAGGTTTTTGTTTTTTCCCCCATTATCAAATCACGTTTAGGCTTTCTAATTCAAGGACAACAAAGCGATTCTTTGCCTTTATCTTTGTTAAAAAAAAAAAAACCAAAAACCCAAGAATGTGAATAATTGTCAAATCACATACTGCACACTCTTCCTATCCGCTCTGTAGCAATTTTGTAACTTGTTTTTAAAAAAACAAGAAAGTTCAAGGGAAGGATGACTATCTGACAGAAAAATATAAATGCTGTTTTGTTTTGTTTTTTAAAAAAACACCAATTAAGTAAAATGTTTTTTTTTAAAAAAGACACATAATTATAGTTCTTAAAAGTTTGCCATTCTCCGAACATGACTAAATGCACCCTTTTAATTTCTTCTTCTATCCTTTTTTTTACTATATGTTGGAGATATAATTCTACACAATTAGAAAATATTTTTTTATTTCAGCTGGGTCAGGGGTAGGCAACCTTGACTCTTTTATGACTGGTGGACTTCAACTCCCAGAATTCCTGAGCCAGCATGGGTCAGCTTGGAAACCTCTCCCTTTCCCCTCAGCATGGCTGGCTCAGGAATTCTGGGAGTTGAAGTCCATGAGTCATAAAAGGGCCAAGGTTGCCTACCCCTGATGGTCTTCACCAAGAGGACATTGATCCTTTACTCATCCCCTTAGCTCTATTAATCCATCTCTCCCCCCCCTTTCCTAGGACAGGAAGAAATCCATCATTTTTATGGATATGTAGTAGTTGCTCCAAACCCCAAGACAGCCAAATTATCCATGGCTTTTGATGACCTTCAGAAGTCTCACCTGCTTTCATAGTGACATTGCCATGGAAACAACCGCGGAAATTATCATAACACTTGACAATGGCAGAATTGTCCAACGGGCACTTTTCTCCAACACAGCTGTAGCATTCCACTCCGTTGGGAATCCGTGCACTCACGTTATCTGGAGATAGAGCCATTAAAAAAAAGTAAATTTTTTAAAAATAGCATTATTGAGGATGAATAAAGAGATGGACTTTAAATTGCTTGAATTCTAGAAGAAGCACTGGAACTGGGTTGGGCCAGGCATATTTATAATTTTCCTTAAACCAGACTAGTGCCAAGATTAGTTGAATAATAATAATAATAATAATAATAATAATAATAATAATAATAATAATAATAATAATAATAATAATAATAATAATAATAATAATAATAATAATAACAACAACAACAACAATAATAATAATAAAGTTGGAAGGGATCTTGGAGGTCATCGAGTCCAACCCCCTGCTCAGGCAGGAACCCTACACCATTTCAGACAAATGGCTGTCCAGTCTCCTCTTAAAAACTTCCAGTGTTGGAGCTAACAGGCTGCCTCAGTTAGTTGTTAATTCCTTTCCCAGAAAGAGGGCTACGGGGATTTATATAAAAGGGAATAATAAAGAAAACAAAACCATTAAAAGCGCATTTGCAAATTATGCAAAAAAGCTCTTCGCCTTGGAACACAAAGGTGCCGCCTGAAGAAACATCGTAGGCTTTTTGTTCTAGGTAAGCTGGCTTTTGTGATTATTGTGTGTTTTACACACAGAGTTGCAACCATTGTTTGTGGGCCTCAGGACAACAAAAGGCAAAAATTCCCTGAAGTTGAACTCATTTCTATGCGAACACATCGATGTAATTTGCTGTGGATGTCTAGATTGGCGTTTCTCAACCTTGGCAATTTTAAGATATGTGGACTTCAACTCCCAAAATTCTCCAGCTGGAGAATTCTGGGAGTTGAAGTCCACACATCTCAAAGTTGCCAAGGTTGAGAAAAACTGATCTATATCTTGCTACTCTTTTCCTTCTTGTGTATTTTCCTTACAGTATTTCCTGTTATTGCTGTTATTATTGTGTTGTTATCATTATTATATTTTTATTCTACCCTTTAATATATAACTTGAGGCAGTGAATATATCTAATACTTCTGTCTTCCATTTTCCCCACAAGAGTTCACAGAGGTAAGCCGAGATAGACTGGCCCAAAGTCACCCAGCCAGCTTTCGTGCCTAAGAGAGACCTAGAAGTTATTTTCTTTACAATTTATTTAATTTACAAGCTTGAGATTTCTCGGGAATGAACCCATGGTGAAACTCAGTCATTCATATTCGGAAAGTTCCAGTTTATTAAGGTTTTGGGAAAATGTTCCAATATTCTCCAGGAACATAGCAGTGGATGGATCAGGCTAACAATCTTCTAAAGTAGAGGCATCATTCTTATGGGGCTGGGGTTTACCCATGGGTTGCAGCTGCAGTGCTTTGATGTCCAGTTTAATGTTGCAGTGGCTTGTGTTGCACTGGTGCAGCTGAGAGAAGGCCAGGATGCCGTGCACCTCCACCGCCTTGTCATTGGTTCCTGGCATGCCCAATCCACAGCCCTTTTCGCCAACGGAGAACTTCCCATGACCTGAAAGAGTGAAGAGGTGACAAAGGAAGACAACATGGCTTAGAACAGGACTATCCAAAGATGGCACCTTTGAGACTTGTGGACTTCAACTTCCAGAATTCCTCAGCCAGCATGGCTGGCTGAGGAATTCTGGGAGTTGAAGTCCACAAGTCTTAAAAGTGCCAATTTTGGAGACTCCCGGCCTAAAAGAATACAAAACAAATAGGTAAATTGCACTCTAGTTGCTATTGTTGGGAAATTGTCTTCAGATAATCCTTGACTTACAACCATTAGTTTAGTGACCATTCGAATTTACAACCGTACTGAAAAAAAGGTGAGTATGACAGATCATCATACTTACAACTATTGCAGCATCCTTACAGTCATGTGATCCAAATTCAGGCACTTGGCAACTGACATGTCTTTACAACAGCTGCAGCATCTTGAGGTTACACGATCACCATTTACAGTACAACCATTCAGTGGTGGGATTAAAACACCTGAACAACCAGTTCTCTTATTGGATGCAGACCTGGGCCTCCGAGGCCTAGAACAGACTTCTGCAAGTAGCATCCATGCACTTCCGGGCAGTCGTTCTAGGCCTGGGAGGCCTCCTCCAGGCCTCTGAGGCCTAGAATGGACTTCTGGAAGCAGTGTACATTCCGCCGGTTCTCCGAACTCAGCAAAATTTAGCTACCGGTTCTGCCGAACTGGTGTGAATGGGCTGAATCCCACCACTGCGACCGTTCCCAACCGGCTTCCAGCAAAGCCACTGCCTTGCTTAGCAATGGAAATTCTAGGTCCCAATTGTGGATGTAATTTGAGGACTATCTGAATTAGACTAGGTCGTGTTAATCTGCAACAGAGCTGGATGTCCTCATCATTTGTGCAGGACTTAAGACTAATAGCAACTGGTATATTCATCATCCCTGAATAAGCCATTACAACATCCTGTAACAGTGTGTTCCACATTCGAATGTTACGGTGCAAAGTGAAATTAAAGCGATGATTGGGCCCCAAGAAAGGAGAAGATTTGATTTTGCATGTGACAACAGCAGCAAAGCTTATATTTGCACAATATTGGAAAAATGAAGAAATACCGTCGGAGGAAGAAATAATTTAAAAAAAATTACCAGACTGTGCAAAAATGGACAGACTTACTTTGAAATCGAAAGAAAAAGAAGAAACAAATTATTTTCAAACTTGGGACTTATTTTACCGATGTTGGAGAAACAAACTACTAGGGATTAAGAATTTAATTTGTATTAGTGAAGGATGAACTCAGACAACCTGTTTGTTGAATAAGCACTGTTGAATTGTATTAAAAAAAATTAATAAAAACTTATTAAAAAAAAAAGAAAGGAGAGGACAATGTCGAGACACTGATTGGAGGGGAGACAAAAGAAGAAAGTGATGGAAGTCTTTGATCTCCTGCTTCCATTATGAAGGATTCATCTCCTCCTGCACTACAGGCAGAATTGGCAATCCCAGCATCCTATGAGTCAAGGGCTCACCAACTGAATGGGACTGCAAGGGCTCCAGGTGTGTAATTATGTAACTCCTCTGAGCATGTATGGAGTAATTCCCCCTGGCTTGCGGAAAAAAAATGATTAGTGCTGTACAGGTAATCCTCGACTTGACGATCAGAATTGAGACCAAAACTTCTGGTGCCAAGCAAAGACAGTTGCTAAGTGAATTTTGCCCCATTTTAGATAAGATAAGGTAAGATAAGATAACCTTTATTGTCATTTTTATACTGCAGGCACAATGGCACACGTCAAAAATGAAATTTAGTTGCCCGCTCTCAAAGTGAAACACATACATGACACACACCTCAACATACTATGAAGAACATATGTATAGACCCACACCCCTACATATACGTAGCAAATAAATATTAAATACTGTCCATCTTGAATATATAACGGAAGGAGGACGCTTGAGAGTTCGCAAGGTTAATGCTGTATGGAATGAAACTCTGGCTGAATCTGGATGTTCTGCTTCGGATACCACGAAGCCCCCTCCTCCCAGAAGGTAACAAGGAAAACAGGTCGTGAAGAGGATGTGTAGGGTCCCAGATAATCTTATGGACCCTGCTCAAGCAGCGCTTCTGTGCTATGTCGTGGTTGTGAAGTGAAACTGGCTTCCCCATTGACTTTGCTTCTCAGAAGGTCCCAAAAGGTGATCACGTGACCCTGGGACACTGCAACTGTCATAACTAGGAATCAGTTGAACTTGTCGAACTAAAGAAGGAATTCAAACCCCAACCCTGTGGTGACACATCCCCTTTGGGGGCTAGAAAAAGCATTTGTAGCTACTCACTCCATTCCACAGCAGCCACGGTTTCCACACAGACGTGGGCATTGCTTGGGCAGGTCAGCTTTTTCAGGTGTTGTTGACTGCAACCGCCGTCACCCAGGTCCACACAGCTATGGCACTCCAGAGCCAAGGCACCTGTATCGGGAAGATGTCCAAAGATGAGCAAAAACCAATTAAAAAAGTGCAAATATACTTTTGTAGACCAGAGGTATCCAACCGTGGCAACTTTAAGACGTGTAGACTTCAACTCCCAGAGCTCTGCAGCCAGCATGGAGTTGAAGTCCAGAGATTCTAAATTTGCCAAGATTGGACACCCCTAGTGCGGATTTTCACAGGAAGCTGAGATGAACTTTGGGGCCTGAAAGGCCACGGTCAAATTTTCTTTCATTCTGATGCCCATTCTTCTTCTTCTCAGCTCGTCACAACCTCATTAAAAGAGGGACAATCGCCTCCAGAAATTGTGGGTGCTCCAACACTGGAGGCTTTTAAGAAGAGATTTGACAGCTATTTGTCTGAAATGGTCTAGGGCACAGCTGGCTCAGGAATTCTGGGAGTTGAAGTCCGCGAGTCATAAAAGAGCCAAGGTTGCCTATTCCTGATCTAAGGTTTCCTGCTTGAGCAGTGGGTTGGACTAGAAGACCTCCAAGGTTTGTTATTCTGTTTTCCCTAGGATTCCTGAATAGTTCCAAGATTGAAGTGATAAGCAAGGAAAAAGCCATCTGTGGTCTGATCGCAAGATCACATCCAAATTAAGCATCTAAAGCAGTGGTTCTCAACCTTTTTAATGCCGCGACCGCAACCGGTCGTAAGTCGAGGACTAAACCCGTCGTAAGTCGAGGACTAAACCGGTCGTAAGTCGAGGACTAAACCGGTTGTAAGTCGAGGACTACCCAACCGGTTGTAAGTCGAGGACTTTCCCTGCCCGGGAGCGCCGCGCATGCGTGGTTCCGCCCCCTGCGCCGGCCGAGGCGTAGCTGGCAAGCGGCAGAGACGGAGCAGGACCACCAGCTGGCCCAGCCCAAGGGAGGTAAGGCACCCGCCGGAAAAGGGGAAAAAAATGGCGGACAAAAAAAATGGCGGACAAAAAAGGGCGGACAGCCTTGCTTGGCGACCCCCGTGAAATGGTCGATCGACCCCAAATGGGGTCCCGACCCACAGGTTGAGAACCACTGATCTAAAGGAAGCAGAGGAATGCTTTCAGGGACCCATCAATCTGGTTGTATGCGAATCACACTGCAAAAGTGGAATTTTAACGTGATTCCTAAAGAAAACTCAGGGCTCCATTTCATTCACTGTCTAATTTGCACGATGAATTTGCAGGTTGCCAGGCAGGTTGCAGGTTGCCCCGATGTTAGCGTCTAACATACATTTTGGACATTAATAATTTGAGAGTGGATGTTTGACCCACAAAGGACTCTCCCTGTGTTTCCTTTTTCCCTCCTGGGCATCTCCTGAATCCAACTTGAAAAATAGTAATCTATTCCCACCCACCCCCACCCCACTTGATGGCTCATCTTGTTTTGAATGCTTTAGGTGCTTCTTCCCAGCCATCTCCAACTGCTCCTACTTCTTCACCTTAATCTGCAGATCTCTGCTTTTTCATTATAGCCTCTTCCGCCCTGTTTTTCTCCTGCATATCCTTCTCTGCTCTTTCATTCTCCGCTCCTGTTCATCCACGCCGGGTGATTGCATTAATCCTGATGACCCCACCCAAGGTGAGACTCATACGAATGTTTCCACCTGTGAGAGCACATTGGGAACACACCCTCCTATGTGTCCAACTGCTCTCCCAGTTTGCTCGTTGTAGCTGCTTCTCCAGAAACAAAGAACTTTTTAAACCAGTGGTTCTCAACCTGTGGGTCGGGACCCCATTTGGGGTCAATCGACCATTTCACGGGGGTCGCCAAGCAAGGCTGTCCGCCATTTTTTTTGTCCGCCATTTTTTCCCCCTTTTCCGGTGGGTGCCTTACCTCCCTTGGGCTGGGCCAGCTGGTGGTCAGCCTGCTCCGTCTCTGCCGCTTGCCAGCTACGCCTCGGCCGGCGCAGGGGGCGGAACCACACATGTGCAGCGCTCCCGGGCAGGGAAAGTCCTCGACTTACGACCGGTTGGGTAGTCCTCGACTTACGACCGGTTTAGTCCTCGACTTATGACCGGTTTAGTCCTCGACTTACGACTGGTTTAGTCCTCAACTTACGACCGGTTGGGGTTGCGGCATTAAAAAGGTTGAGAACCACTGTTTTAAACAGTATAGAGTAGCTTTCATTAATACAGGAACTTGCATATGGATTGATTCGTGTCATCCAAATTGAAGCTAAGCCAAGAGACTTCCACGCACCCTTTTTTCTACTCCCTAACTTTTTGAAAGACGCATTGAATGACAATCCACANAAAGATGATTAAGGGACTGGAGGCTAAAACATACAAAGAACAGTTGCTGGAATTGGGTATGTCTAGCTTAATGAAGAGAAGGACGAGGGGGGACATGATAACAGTGTTCTAAGGGGCTGCCACAAACAAGAGGGGGGTCAACCTATTCTCCAAAGCACCTGAAGGCAGGACAAGAAGCAACGGGTAGAAACTAATCAAGGGGAGAAGCAACCCAGAACTAAGGAGAAATTTTCTGAAAGTGAGAACAATTAACTGGTGGAACGGCTTGCCTTCAGAAGTTGTGGGAGCTCCATCACTGGAGGCTTTTAAGAAGAGATTGGACAACCATTTGTCCAGAATGGAATAAGTTTCACTGATTGAGCAGAGGGTTTGACTAGAAGACCTCCAAGGTCCCTTCCAACTCTGATATTCTGCTTGCCCTCTGCACCCTTGTCTTTACTCATGTTATATTGGTCTGCTCAAATGCAAATAAACAAAGGAGCAAATAAGAAGAGGAAACCACCAAAACTGCCTCTCTCCTTGAAAGACCTGTTAGGATATCTGGAGGCTGAAGGACAGGGTGAAGGCAGAGCTCTTACCAATGAGGAAACAGGTCACCCACAAGCTTCCCACAGTAGCAGCAGTTCAAAGAAAGACCCAGGTTTTCTGCGGTTTTCAATAAACCACAAACATAACCGGAAATAATCTAGCCATCAAATCAAAACAGTGCCTTGAGATTACCCAAGTGCAAAGCTCATTCTGGAATGGTGGATGTCTAGATATGGATGCCTCTCGCCAGAAGTAGTTCTGGACAGTAAACTGAATTAGATAACTCTAAAAAGGGCCTAATGCTGGGAAAGATGGAGGGCAATAGAAGAAGGGGACGACAGAGAATGAGGTGGCTGGATGGAGTCACTGAAGCAGTAGGCCTGAGCTTAAATGGACTCCAGAAGATGGTAGAGGACAGGAAGGCCTGGAGGAACGTTGTCCATGGGGTCGCGATGGGTCGGACACGACTTCGCAACTAACAACAACAAAACGGGTTATTGAAATGATTTTCCCAGTTGAGCTTTAAGTCAGGTTATTGCATAACTTTGCTCAGTCTGGGATTTCTGTGGCTGGCATAATGATTCCTTGCTGACAAAGCTACCTGTGTGGTATAATCCTAAAGAACTGGATATCCCTGGAAAATAAAGTCTTGAGAAGGAGGACTTAGAACTGAAAGGAACCGTTGAGTCCGGTAGAGTCAAACATCCTATGGAAGAGAGATCCATCCAGTCCCCCATTTGAGGCAGGTATGAGTTTGATTGCACGATCGCACACCATGTTTGGAATCCCCTTCTATTCAGCACTCCTATTTTCTTGTTTTGAAGTTATCTTGATTTTATTTCTAACCGCTCTTTCTAGTTTTATAGAAACCATGGTTAAACGTCGTAAAACAAGATTTCTTCTATCCTTTCTCCCCATTTTATAAAATATTGTGTAGGCAGATACACAGCAAGCTTATGCTGAATAGCTAGTTGTAGGTTTTGCAATGTGGGATGTGGTGGACATTAGGCTTCTAAAGATGCCTGCTGGAGAAGAGGCAAACACCTAAACCATGGTTTGTTTTGTTCTTTGAATTATGGTTATCTTTTAGCCTTTGGGGTTGATCGTGGAAGAGAAGATGGGCTTATAAAACCATATTTTTTCCTCAGATGGTAAGGCATTGCCTATTGATCTGAGCCTGCCTGCCTTGGCATGGGTCAGAAGTCACAATGGCATCATGTAGGGCCCAAATTATGTCAACTCCAAAATTCTTGTCATTTGTACAATGACCTCATGACATTTGTGATGTCATCTCCCTCTTGCCTTTGAGGAAATGGTTGGTTCTATCAGCTCTTTATGAGGTGAAGAGAATGGAGGCCAAGATCCTGTTTCCCCAGATCTTCAGTAAGGTTCAGAGATCTTTGGTAAAATCCTCTTCAGCCTCACAGACCCAATGGGTGACCATTTCCTGATGTGTCTACCTAAATAAATGATCATTTGCTCAATGAGATTCATGGTCACCACATCTCTCAGTCTTCCTATAGCTGAAGGTATGAGGATAATGAGGAACCAGCATGCCTTTATGATTTTCCTACCTTGTATTGGGAAGGGACCAAAAGCAGGTTGCCTTATTGTGTCCTCAGTCAAATAGTGAGGGTTTCCCAACCTCAAGAGCTTTAAGATGGGTGGAATTCAACTCTCAGTGCTCCCCAGCCAGAATGGCTGGTTGGGGAATTCTGGGAGTTGAAGTCCCTGCATCTTAAAGCTGCTGAGGTTGAGGGACTCTGAAATGGAGTTACAGCTGCTGTTTTTCATCCTCCCTTTAAACAATTCAGACAGGTACACAGGGGAACTATCGTCCGAACAATGCTGAGAAATACATGAAGCGGATAAATGAAGCCATGCCATACGCCATACGACAAAATTCACCACTGAGTTGAATAGTACAACTGTCCTCACAATTTATCAGCCTGGCTTTTTCAGCTGTGCATCTCAGCTCACAAATAGACAATGGCCTCTATTATTTCATGATAGAAAAAAAGATAGAAAAAAGAAGGGAAACTTTCTTTTGAAGGAAAGATAGGTAGGTAGGTAGGTAGGTAGGTAGGTAGGTAGGTAGGTAGATAGATAGATAGATAGATAGATAGATAGATAGATAGATAGATAGATAGATAGATAGATAGATAGATATAGACACAGACAAACAGATGTAGAGATGAGTGAGATAGAAACATAGGTAGAAACATAGAAACATACATAAATAGGTAGATAGATGATAGAGATAGATTGATAGATGATAGATGATAGATGATAGATGATAGATGATAGATGATAGATAGATAGATAGATAGATAGATAGATAGATAGGTAGATAGGTAGATAGGTAGGTAGGTAGGTAGGTAGGTAGGCAGACAGATAGACAGACAGACAGACAGACAGACAAACAGACAAATTTGCCACAAGATCTATCTTAGAGAAAGGACATACAGTAATCTAAGATAATTTATTTATTTATTCAATTTATATGGCCACCCATTCAAACAATAAGCCTGGGTGACGGCGAACAATCATATTAATTAAAACCAATTAAAAAACCAGCACAATAATGTAAATATATACCGCAGCGGGCACAAATGTGCAACAGCATGGCCTAAAAAAAATTGCTTTGATCTTTGGAGCAACCATTTTGGAACCTCCACGTATTTGTGCCAAGCAAATGCACCAGTTCTTTATTTGAACCTGGTATGGTTAACGCCCTGAAAAACCTTTCATTTAAGGGTTTGTTTAGCTAGAATTTAGATTTATTATAAATAGGCATAGCAATGAGCCGAAGTGGGTAAGTCTGGGTCTCTCATTTCATATCCACGGTGCTTTCCTTGTGCCATAATTTCAACGGCTATATAGAGACGCAAAATGACCATTCCTGAAAGCTGAATCCAGGGAACTCAGAGGATCTAATCACCGTGGACAACTGAACTATTCATCCAAGCTTATTCCAGAGGCTACCCCTTGCTTCCAAGCATTCCTAGCTCTAACATGGCTTATCCTGAAGCTGTATCAGTTGTCATACGATCTTCCATCTCCTACCTTTCATGGAAAACGTCAAAGCCACCAGAAGGACAGATGGGCTTATCCGGAGCTGGAGGTAGGCACCCATCGTAACGTCAGCTAAGTCCCAACCTTTCCTTGGTTCTTTCCCTCTGCCGGTCTTGAGAACGTGCTTCTGTCAAGTCCTTAAAAGATCAAGCTTGCTTAAACATTAAATATAAGTTGATGGCTCTGGCAGGGCGTTTTTTTCTCAACCCCCAGCCACGCCTCCTTAGACTTGGCTGTTCAGCAGCTTCTTGCTAGCCTGGAGGGCTTTTTTCCATACACCCCATCCCACTCTCTAACCCATCACTTCCCTTTCCCAGCACTTGGAAGGTACTTGCCCGGGTGACGCCCCGATTGGGAACTAGAACAGCCAGTTGAGGGTTTTTGTGTTTTTTTTTGGTGTTTTGTTTGACATTCTTCATCCAGGACTTAGAGTCAGGAGAGAACAGTAATTAGAGGCAAGTCTGAACTTGGAGAAGCAAGTGATGGCAAAGATGATGGAAGCCATTGAACAGGAATTCCTGTGTTCTCCATCAAGGGAGAGGTCATGGTAGTTGCTGGGTGGCGGGGGGAGGGTAAATCTCATGTATATAATAGAATAACAGAGTTGGAAGGGACCTTGGAGATCTTCTAGTCCAACCCCCCTGCTCAGGCAGGAAACCCTATACCACTTCAGACAAATGGTTCTTT